CCATATTCCTTAGTTTCCTTTACTACAAAATGTGCTTGACTATTCCGGCTTTAACATCTTTCACTCCCTGTGCTAATCTGGATAAAGTTCTTAATATTTCCAAACCTACATTTTCTTATCTTTAAATAACAGCAGCAATTGGCCAGGCATGGTGGCTCATGCCTGTAATCCCAGCACTTTGGGAGGCTGAGGCAAGGCGGATCACAAGGCCAGGAGTTTGAGATCAGCCTGGCTAACATGATGAAATCCTGTCTCTACTAAAAATACAAAAAATTAGCCAGGTGTGGTGGTGCGTGACTGTAGTCCCCGATGCTTGGGAGGCTGAGGCAGGAGAATTGCTTGAACCTGGAAGGCAGAGGTTGCAGTGATCCAAGATTGCCCCACTGCATGTCAGCCTGGGCAACAAGAACGAGACTCCATCTCAGGGAAAAAAAAAAAAAAAAAAAAAAAGTAACAGCAACAATTAACAAAGCTTTTCTGAGGATTAGAATTAATGGATGCAGGTGCCTCATTCATAGTAGGATCATTCATTCAGCAAGTGTATTGAGAATCTACTATGTGCCAAACAGTATGCTAGACTCTTGGTTATTTAATACTCTTAGGATTGGTTTTAGAATAAATTAGGATACATGAAAAGTAATCTGGATTATACAATGCAGTGAAGCAACACCAGGTAATTGAGAATCAAGAGCTGACCTATTTTCGAGTTACCCTGGGGGTCTGTGGCATGAACAAATAGGCCTGGGTTTTACTTGTGCCCTGCAAATGCTAGCTGCAGGAACAAGCCACAGCTAGTGAGTAGGCTGAGCCCACTGGCCAGCACTCAGGCCAGCTCTGCTATTAGCTCCTGCAGCGGGTAGCTGCTATTTTTGCCTGCCCAGCGGTCCTTCACCCCTTCTTCTGGAAACAGAGCTCTAATGTTTCTTTGGGGAACTATCAGCCTCAGTCTATGTGGTTAGGGTGGACTTAACCTTAGCCGTTGGCTCCATGGGTGGGCAGGTAAACCAGGGCATACCAATGAGGCATTCCATTGCCTTTTAAACTAAGGGTTGTGTTAAAAGTGAACAAATGACCCAAACCGGGGTAATCAGAATCATAAGCATCTAGGAGAGTAGGCCCTTCCGTAGATCCATTGTTAAAAAGTTGTTCTTTTTCTCTTGGGTTTATTAAATTGGTGGACATTAAGCCTGGAGTTGCTCACACTATCTGTGCCACAGTCTGAATATATTTAGCCTAAATAAAGCTAAATATCACAAGAATAAAGCTCACACAGAGGACAGCAGACCTGGGTGGGACTGCGGGTCTGGGGAGGGAGAAAAGGAGGGGATGGGGGAGGTAGAGGGGCAGGGGGAGAGAGAGGAGGGGGGGGTGCTTTCTGAAGGTAGCATCTGAACACCTGACTCCATCTCTACCTTAAGCTACATAACCCTAGACTTCTCAGTTACATAAACTAAACCATTATTTTCTTTTGGGGGAGTGGAGGAGCAGCAAAGTAATTTGGTTGGGTTTCCTTCATTTGTAAGAATCCTTCACTTGAGTACGTGTTAACATATCTACTGTTCCTTACCTAGTATGCGACAATTCAACAACTCTTACTATGATACTCAGAAATTTGGAGATTCAGAAAGATTTAGACATATCCCTCAGGGATACTAAAGTTTAAAAAATTCATATTGCATACCAAAAAAAGGACCCACATATCTTGACATAAGTACATTCAAATCTCTGCAAATATTTCAAATAGCTTGCTACAGTACTCTTCAGTCTTCTTTAATTCCCTGCATATTCATCTCATCACAGGTGTAATCATTTGTCTAATATCTGTCTGTTCTGCTAGATTGGAAGGGCAGGACTGGCTGATCTAGCTTGCTCATTAGGCCCAGCACAGTGCTTGGCAGATAATGAGTGCTCAATAATTATTTGCCAAATTGACTCTTAAAAACAACAGATTCTTGTAAACAACAAAGGTGCTTATCCCTTTAGGAAGTGCCCCGCCTGAATGAAGGCAGGTCAGAGCAAAGCCTACACACGGCTAAGGGGCTACCCCTCATGCGAGAGGGGCTGCCTGCTCCACTGAAAAGGTTCCCGTGCTTCCAAGTGTGCAAGAGCGATGGGATGGGAAAACCGGGTTTGCTCTTGTCCGCAAGACCACATCTCCTCTTCCAGGCAAGTGCGGCTTCTCCCCAAGAGGGGGAGCACATTCTTCCTTCCAGAACAACATGAGCAGGTAGAAAGAGAGAACTGGGGATGGGGAGTGAGGAAGGAAAGAATCATCGCAAGAGAACTACAGACAAAGAAAGCAAATAGCAACAAGGGGGTGGGAGAATCTGGGAGACAGTGAACACCTATGTATTGAATGCTCACTGTATACCGAGCTCTTTCCGTGTGTCATCTCACTTCCCCTCCCAGAAAGCCTTTCCACTTTGGGACAGGTGGGGAAACAAAGACCAGCAGAGAATGAGTGACTTGCAGAAGCTGCCACAGACCCCCAGTGGCTGTGCAGGATCTGAATTCTACTCTGGCTGACTCCAAAGCCCGTGTTCTCTTCATTGCCCTCTGCTGCTCCCGTTTATTTTTCACAGGTCAAATGGTTTATTTCAGATTTTTTTTTTTTTTCTCATCGGTCCCCTTATTATTGTAATAGAAGCTGGCAATTCTGATGATCCTCAGATGTGTTTTGGGCATAAGAAATTTTTTCAGGGGGAAAAAGGAACTACCATTCAATATGAAGAAATGGCAAATGTAAATTTCCTGTAAAAATATGAAGTTTAAAAAACATTCCAGGCCGGGCGCGGTGGCTCAAGCCTGTCATCCCAGCACTTTGGGAGGCCGAGGCGGGTGGATCACGAGGTCGAGAGATCGAGACCATCCTGGTCAACGTGGTGAAACCCCGTCTCTACTAAAAATACAAAACATTAGCTGGGCATGGTGGCACGTGCCTGTAATCCCAGCTACTCGGGAGGCTGAGGCAGGAGAATTGCCTGAGCCCAGGAGGCGGAGGTTGCGGTGAGCCGAGATCGCCCCATTGCACTCCAGCCTGGGTAACAAGAGCGAAACTCCGTATCAAAAAAAAAAAAAAAAAAAAAAAAAAAAAAATTCCATACGTGTGGGTGGTTAAACACGCTGGTTTCTGTAACACGAAGGATGCAGCCTGCAATGGGTGGCTTTCAGTGATACTGCAAGCACATGAATAGGGCCATACATTCCCATTTTGAGTATCAGCACTCACCCCTCCTTTCCTACAGGGATGATAAGCTGATACTACCTAAACATTGTTCGAGCTACAGTCCCTTACTATTGTAATTCACTTAACTTTAACATGATTTATGATTCTGTCAATAGGGGAGGTTGAAAACCCTGCACTGAAGCTTAAATGTGAGCTTCATATTTAACACAGTAATTGGGTGTGTGTGCGCGTGTGTGTATGCGAGAGAGAAAGAGGTAGAAGAAACCATTCCACATACAGAGGAGATACAAGGCCAATCTTGAATTTTTTATTCTATGGTGAAAAAAAGGAAAATAAATGAGTCTAAACCTGGAATCCGCATTAGATTAAGCTGAACCAGAAAGAAAGAACTGCTCGAGACTTATCTGATTATGCGAGGTACAGTCCAAGTGCATGATACCAGGAAGTCTTAACAATGAGAGGGTTTCTAAGAAACCTTGCTCAGAACTACTGCCTTCACTATGTACGGATACGTGGGTCTATGCCTGTGTGTGCCTGTGTGCACACATGCACCAGCGGGACATGCAGGCCTGCGTGTGATTGAGAGGGACAGAGAGAAAGGGGCAAAGGAATTCCAAGGGAAAGCAGCTTCCTTTGTGAAGATGAGTTTAAATCCAGCCCCCCCCCACCCCACCACCGGATAATCACCCTATTCTCTTTAGCACTCACCCTGGAGGCCCTTTGCCTCTTTAAGAGATTAAGGAGCCAAGTGGTCTCACTGCCCTAACCTGTCCTCCCAGGGACAGCATATTAACATGATTCCACTACGGAAGAGCCCTCTTTAGAAGTTTGCTGCAGGGATGACAAATTAACCCAGCAGGGTGTCCCACACATCTATCACGGTACAAATTATTAGCGTAATAGAGCTTTTAGTTATGCATTTATCTAGTAATTATTGAACATTACACAAACCCAAGCTGAGCAGCCATGGCCCTTTATGAGGGTGGCTCAGTGGGTGGCCTTACAGTTAATTTAGGATAGTTCTCCACTAGGCAGTTCACTTGCAGACAAATTAGCTAAACAGCCTTCTCCTTTAAATATTTTCCATGTCACAGTGAAACTCTTTACAATACAGTAAAGGTACAGTTTTAATTACACGCTTCCTGACTTCTGTTGAGTTGTAGTTTTAAAACATTCGCTAGCACTCTTTTTTCCTCTGGCTGGGCAGTAATAGCTGGTTGTAAGTATCTGGCTAATGAATTTAATAATTTCCTGAACTGGGACTTAAAGGACTTTTGCAAAAAAAAAAAAAAAAATGCTGCTTTTTCTCTTTAGTGTCCAGCAACTTCAAATCCCATCCACAATGCTGCCTGTGAGGGCAGGCACTGGCACTGGAGCAAACCGTGAACGAGGTTCACAGACCCTCTTGCTTCTCTGATCCATGCTCCTCAAAGGTGGTACTTGTTAGGTCTATGAGGCCTGCATTTGAAAATCAATTCTGGCAATTCTTCTTGGAGAAAAGCAACGTCATGTTTTCTCAAGTGACATACTCCAGTAATAAATAAACACTGCGCGTCTGTTGGCAGATTATTTCAGCGCCTTGTTAGCAACAGGTACCTAATTGCTTCTCATTTTCCTGAGATGATTCAATTGCACTAAACCAGGAGAGACAAATTAGATTCAGTGGATCACCGGCATGTTCTACAACTAAGTTAAAAGCTTTCCTGAGAGGCAAAGTAGTTTGCGGATATGATAGGAGAAAGATGAACAAACCTAGCGCTTGGGGGCCTAGGCCAGGGGAGGGGTGCCACAATTACAGCAGTGGTGAAGCACCAGGGAACGTTCCTTCTGGAGGGACCTTAGCTTGGAGAGAAAAATTTATGATGCCACAGCAAATATTCTACAAATGGGAGCCAAATCATTTTGAGCTCATTTCTCTTAATGTCTATCAAGGTGAAGCTCTTAAAACCAAACCTATCAACTGGTAAGAACAGATACTACACATGATCTTAGCCAAAAGACTGAGAAGTGATTGGATCATGAGGTCAGGAGATTGAGACCATCCTGGCGAACACAGTGAAACCCCGTCTCTAAAAACACAAAAAAATTAGCTGGGTGTGGTGGTGGGCGCTGCAGTCCCAGCTACTCAGGAGGCTGAGGCAGGAAATCGCTTGAACCCGGAAGGCGGAGGTTACTAGCAGTGTCCCTGTCAGAAATGGAATCACATTTTAATTATCACAGCCGCAATTTGTGAACAGTCTGGGAAGGGCTTGTGGACATGGTGGTCTCATTTAATTGACTATGAAGCATTAATACTTTCTAGGAAAGATGGATAACTGACACTTTCGGCAATGTTTATTTGCAAGAATGAACTACCTCAGTCTGGCGCGGTGGCTCACGCCTGTAATCCCAGCCCTTTGGGAGGCTGAGGTGGGCAGATCGCCTGAGGTCAGGAGGTCGAGACCAGCCTGGTTGACATGGTGATAAGCTGTCTCTACTGAAATACAAAAAAAGTTAGCTAGATGTGGTGGTGCGTGCCTGTAATCCCAGCTACTCAGGAGGCTGAGGCATGGAAATCACTTGAACCCAGGAGGTGGAGGTTGCAGTGAGCCAAGATTGCGCCACTGCACTCCAGCCTGGGCGATGGAGTGAGACTCTTAAAAAAAAAAAAACCAAAAAAAACCAAACCAAACCAAAACAAAAAAAGCCACAAAAAACCCAACATGTATTAGGCTGGGGGCATGGTGGCTCACCCCTGCCAGAATCAAGACAATTTTACTTCTAAACTCCATTTGTGTGTGTGTGTGTCTGTGTGTGTGTGTGTGTGTGTGTGTGTTCTGATTCATAAAGAAGTGGGGTTTAACCTTGTGCTGGCATTTTGTATGTCTTAACTCCTCAGTACTTAGTTATCTAAGAGCATCACTTATTTGCTGTTGTAATCCCAGCACTTTGGAAGGCTGAGACAGAAGGACTGCTTGAGCCTATGAGTTTGAGATCAGCTTAGGTAACATAGTAAGACCCTGTCTCTACAAAAACATTTTTAAAAATTAGCTGGGCATAGTGGCATGCGCCTGTAGTCCCAGCTACTCAGAATGCAGAGGCAGAAGGATTCCTTGAGCCTAGGAGTCCGAGGCTTCAGTGAGCTGTGATTGTGTCACTACCCTCCAGCCTGTGTGTCAGAGAGAGACCCTGTCTCCAAACAATCAAATATATACTGAGCACTTAAACATGCTACACCTCTCTCTACATGTTGCTGAATACATGCACTTGAATATATATTACCATACAGTGGAGAAGGAAAGAACTCGCTATTATTCTCAAACTTTCTCTGTTTGCCTTCAATCAAATCCATGCATTCATTCATTTATTAGACTATTATTTATTGAGTGCTTTCCTTATGCCAGGCACAAGGTGGAGGGATTCAGAGATAAATGATAAAGATGTGAGCCTTGCCCTAATGGGTCCTGCCATCTAGTGATGACTGTTGTCCTCCTATTTTACCTCTACTTCCACGTTCCTCTATTATTGTCTATGCATATTATGAATCCACACTCCTCTAACCTTTCTTGGTGACCTCAACTTCCTGAAAGGTGATCTTAATTCTCATAATTCTCTGCGGTATATTTTTCTTGGCCAAACTGGGAGATATTGTGAACTTCAGACCCTCAGATGTTTCATCACTGAGAGCAAGATCCCTGTTTGGGCCAGGAGGATCATGGACTTAGAGAGGTTTATAGAGCATATAAACTTCTGACTACCTCTCCAAACAGAAACGGGAATGATTCTTTGAAAGCTGCACAATAAATCTTTGGTTTATATGGCGATTGCTTTAGTGTATCTTAGGCGTATTTTCTGAATCAAGGCAATTCTACTTCTAAACTCCCTTCGTGGTTTTTTTTTTTTTTTTTTTTTTGACTCATAAAGAAGTGGGAGATTAACCTCATGTTTGCATTTTGTGTGTCTGAATTCTTCGGTACTTAGTTTTCGAAGAGCATGATTTATTCGCTGTTGTTTTGTTTTGCGTGCCTATAATGCGAAGGCAAACTGTTTGAGACTAGGGTTGGGTCTTCTGCTTGTCTGGACTCGTGCAGTGCCAAATGCCACCGTAAAGTTGTCCATCAAGATGTCCTTTCCCTGGTTTCCTACCGCAGCCTGTGCTTCCAGCACAGTAATGCAACTGCTGGTTTCCTTGTCCTCTCGTCCTCCAGGAGGCAAGCACCCTGAGGACCGAATCCATGCTTCTCGAGCGCCTTGTATACTGTAAGTGTTCGATAAGTATTTGTGGAAAAAAAGTAACGGTTCCCCAGATAGTAATGAGTATCTGCAAGCTAACACAATATTGAAAAAAGCCAAACTGACCTCAAAAAGTATCTCGCAAGTGGCGTGCACCTAAGAGAAACCCTGAATTTACCAGTAGCAAGGACTCATGGGCTAATAAAAAAGGCTAAGTGATTTGTTTATGGCTGCTATTAAAAGAAAAAAAACTCAGTGTGATGGCACAGGTTATGTTACGATTATCAAAAGATCTAAATGGATATGTTATGACTTTGACTCATAAAAAATGTGAAAACAGACTAATTGTTTCAATAAATGCAGTTAATGTTTCCCCGTGGGGGAGACAAAGGTAGAAACTACTAATATGGTAGAAAAGGCACTGAACTGGAGACTTGATTTCTGGTCTTGGTTCCGGCTAGCTCAGATTTCTCATCTGTAAAAATAATGGGGAATATGTTGCTAACTGTTAACCAGCATATTTATCCCCTATTTACCCACAGATAAAATCTTAATTTTAAAGAGAGTGGCCCTATGTTCAGCTAAACATTTAGTTTCCAGCCTCCCTTGCAGCTACAGGCAATCATGGACCATAGTCTGATCGTGCTGCAGAAGACGCTGTGAAAAAGTGGCAGGATAAGCTGATGGGTCCTTCTTGCCCTCGCCTTTTCCCTTCTTTCTGTGTGGCATGCAGACATAAGGCAGGAGAGCAGTGCCCATGCTGTGACCTCATAAGAACAACCCACTCCATTGTTCGGAGAAGGATATCTCCATCCATGATGGCACTGCAAGTACCACCATGGCAGCCTTGAATCACATAATTGCTTTTTTTTTTTTTTTTTTTTTTTTTTGAGACAGGGTCTTTCTCTGTTGCCCAGGCTGCAGTGCCATGGTGCCATTATAGCTCACTGCAGCCTCAAATTCCTGGGTTCAAGCAATCCTCCCAGCTCAGCCTCCCAAGTAGCTAGGACGACAGGTGTCTAACACTATGCTCTGCTAATTTGTAAAATTTTGTGTAGAGATAGGGTCTTGCTGTGTTGCCCAGTCTGTTTTCAAATCCCTGGCCTCAAGTGCTTCCTGCCTCAGCCTCCCAAAGTGCCGGGATTACAGGTGTGAGTCACCATACCTAGCCACATGCTTGTTTTCATATGATAAAAATATGACTCCTTATTTTCTTAGGCCATTATTCACTCAGATATTCTGTTACTTTCAGCTAAAAAGCTTCTTCACAGATACAGGAACACATTAGAGCAAAACATTCCAGACCATAACTCTTTCAATTACTTTCAATTGTGCCTCTCAATGTGGATCCTGGAGGCTGCTCCCTGTTCCGAAATCTCTAAAGCACAGAATTGCTTTACTCAGTGCAGAGCATTTAAATAAAGCATCATTCATTATCTTCTTAATCTTGAAAACAGCAAAGACTTCAGGCAGAAAGAGAAGTTTCAAGATCTAAACTTTCAAGAAACTTTAAAATGTAACTGATGATTACTCCAAAGAATTCTCTAAGAAGTTAGACCCTTCAGATCATCAACCAGGCAAACTTCCAATTTTTGAAAAGACAAAGACACCAAGAATTTTTTTTTTTTTTTTTTTTTTTAAGATAGAGTCTCACTCTGTTGCCCAGGGTGGAGTGTAGTGACACGATCTTGGCTCACTGCAACCTCCACCTCTTGGGTTCAAGCGATTCTCCCGCCTCACTCTCCTGAGTGGCTGGAATTACAGGCACCCGCCACCATCCCCAGCTAATATTTTTGGATTTTTAGTAGAGACGAGGTTTCACCATGTGATCAGGCTGGTCTTGAACTCTTGACCTCGTGAGCTGCCCACTTCGGCCTCCCAAAGTGCTGGGATTATAGGTGTGAGCCACCGCGCCTGGCCAAGATTTCTTTTTTCAATTATCATGAATGAGACAAACAGTCATGAGTAAATACTTTACTATGGTTATAATTTTAAGTAGTGGTAAAAGAAAGTCTTGAAAGCCCAATCTTTCAGCTTACAGTGCACAGTAATTATACTAATGTATAACGATGTACAAATGCCTCTACTGAAATTTAATATCTTCCCCCTACCCATAGGATATTCCAAAATAACCTCTTGACCTAATGCTAACCACATAGAGAAACAGGTAGCAAAGTATTATCCCCATGGTACAGATGGCCAAACTGAGGCCACTAGGTTAAGTGATTTATCAAAGCCACAAAGAAAGCCAATATCAGAGTGGGGATTCATTTTAAGAAACCACATATCTCTACCTTTACATAAAGAAAGCCCATAGCTCTTAATAAGAAAGCTTCACCTAGAGAATCTTGCATAGGTTTTCTTTGGATGCAAGGCCATGGTTTTTCCACAACTTAGACATTTCTTACAAGGAAGTACGGCATGAACTATCATACATTTATTGCCCTTGGCTCTTCTGAAGAAATGAAAACTCATCAGGGCCAGGGAGGGGATAAATGTCTTTTGGATGCATTTACATGCAGTTTGACTACTGTTATTCATTCAACCAATATTTGAGAATAAAACACACTGTGTGAGGCACCACATAGAGACTGGAATGTCTAAGTCAGAGATCCTTCCCTTTGGAGGTTCTCCTCTAGGAGGGGGGCGAGACAGGAGATGAACTAACAAGGCCAGGTGAAGTTGGTGGAGTCAATGCGTAGGCGTGAAAGGCAGCAGGAGCTTGAGTGTGAGATGTTGGCGAGCTGCGTGGAAGAGAGAAGGTTTCCCTTTGAAAGCAGTGCTTGAGCTGATCTGGGCA